GCAGGTGAAGAAGTGAGTGTTGGCAGCTTCCAGCTGGAGCAAGGGCTGGCTTCTGAACCCAGCAGCCCCTGGGGTGAGAGCTGCCAGAGAAAGTGTGCACACTGTACAGATGAAATGGGGCTGAAGCCAGAGTTTCACCCGGCTTGCACCGAGCCCCCTACAGTTCTGTGACTCTTTGGAGACATGCTGCTCGGGGGTGGTGAGAGGGGCAGAACTCTCCTCTGTATGCTAGGTAGAGGACCTGCGGGAGAGGGCACCCAAGGCCACCGCAGACCCCTCGAGGAGGGCATGCATGCAAGGTCCGGCCAGAGCTCACTGACTGGCAGTCGTTCCAGGGCTGTGATTAACGGTGCGTAAATTAAATCAGTCCCAAGGCTGCTGCTGCACACCCAAGGTCCAAGCAGATTCCTGCAGGAGACCACTGAGGTCACTAGAAGCAGGAACCTCAGAGAGGCCGGCCGTAAGATCATCTGTCTGTGCCAGAGGGGCTGGCCACTTGCAGCGTTGTACTTTACCGTACTTGCCCAAATGCTGGACTAGGCTATGAGCAGGCTCCCCCCTGCTGCTGTCTGATATCTCTTTCTATCTTGCTTTCTCTGCTAGTGGTGGCTGGACAACATGGAAGCCCTTGTGGATGTGTGGCTATGGTCTGTCTGATAGTACAGTGGGCATCATAGGTCTGGGGAGAATAGGTAAGTGCAGGTCAGACGCAAGATTTGTGTGTCTCCCATTATGGCAGGATGGTTTTGGAGGTTCAGCCAAGGTGGTATCCCCAGTGGTCACCTCTTAAAATCTATGAGAACAAGGATAGCTGGGTAGAGCCTCTCTGAACAGTGATCTTGACTCATCAGGCCTAAACGTTAAAGTATTCAAACACATCCACTACATATGAATGCTACAGCAAACTGGACATCGTCCTCTTGATTTTCAGTTAAACAAATGCACTGACAAAGTCCAAGATGACATGCTTGCCATATGTTCAGTTGTGGACTTTGCCAGCAGATGGCTATTTCTTTCCTTGTCGGTTTGCTCCCTAGGGTAGCTTCATATTTAACGTCCCGCAGCTCCCTTTCCAGTTTCACTGTGGCTGGGAGTTCAACATGAGGAGCAGCAGAAGACATCCACCTCCCACCCCATGCCTGCTGTGCTCCAGGCTTGGAAACAGCCTGGCGGGAGCAATTCCACCACAACAACCCTTTAGCAAGCGATGTGTTCTGCTGGCTGCCGTGCTGTCAGCTGCACCGAGTGCAAGCTTGCTGAAAGACAGACTGCCTGGAGAGGCCTGAGGGACCCCCGCAGCTCCATGTTAATCTCTGTGCAGCACACCTTGTGCAGGGGCTGGCACAGCAGCTGGACGGTCTTTTCTCTCGCACCCAGGACAGGCGGTTGCCCGCCGCCTAAAGCCATTTGGGGTCAAGAAGTTTTTGTACACTGGCAGTTGCCCGAAACCAGAGAGTGCTGCAGAGTTTGAAGCCGAGTTCGGTAAGGAAGTTGCCAGGAGCAGGGGCCGCGACCGGTCACCCGCTGCAAGGCAGCAAGGAGCACCGTGGCTGGGGTGGCTCCGGGGAGGTGTCACCCTGTGGGGTGGGCCAGCAGGAGGGACAGTGCAAGCTGGAGATTCTGGGCAGCTGGCATGAACTGCTGTGGGGGACCAAAGGAGGGGGTGGTGAATCCCAAACACTTCCCATGGGGTGGTGGTGGATGGCAGGGAGGGAAACCTGCCTCCTTTGAGCCAGGCGATTCCAGCCACAAGGCTGGACACACCTGGGCCCTAACTGTCTGCCCACCGTAACTGTGGACTGTGGCTGTTTCTGCTGCTTTTGCCTTTCATCTTCCCCCTGTGTCCATCTGTTTGTGATTTCCAGTTAGTTTCATTCCCATAAGGAAGTGGAACGTAAGGGACAGGGAGGGGAAAGTGGCAGCCACCCCTGGGGGTAGATGTTGGTTGCTGGAAACAAACATTGATTTTAACGTCCTGCTTTAAAATGAATGTCACAGTCCAGCAAAGCCTGGGAATGTCTTTTAGCTGCTGAATGGGACTTTTCTGTGGCCCTGTTAGAGTCCCGAGACTTGGATCAAGTGCTAATTTTTCACTCTGAAGCCAGCACGTTGCCAGTTTGTACTTTTTTTGCACAAAGTCATTGGCAGAACTTGCCCTCCTCCTTGCACTTTCCTCTCACCTGCAGGAGTGAAAGTGGCATAAGTCCTTATCTGTAGGTACCGTATAGAGAGATTTAATGGTGGTATAAACTGTTGCTGCAATATTGTGCTGTCTAAACATGAAATACATATCAGAGCCTTCTTTGGGCCAGATGGCTGAAGCATCACTGGATTCTCCTTTGGCTTGATTTTAATTCCAAAGTGAAACAAAACACTGCAGTAGTATCTGTAGGAATGTGTGTGGTTTCTGGTGGGTGTTTGCTGGTCCTTGTGTCTCCCTGTCTGTGGAGAAGGGCCAGCCAGGGTATCTCCAGAGCAGCACTCGCTGGCGAAACTTATGGATAAGAGGGTTGCTGAGGTGCGAAGGTGAGATTCCTGAGCTGACCTGTCACCTGTGTTTCTCCACTCAGTCCCACTCACGAGGCTGGCCGAAGAGTCAGACTTCGTTGTGGTGACGTGTGCTCTGACTCCGGCCACGCAGGGAATGTGCAACAAAGACTTCTTCAGCAGAATGAAGACAACGTCTGTGTTCGTCAACACAAGCAGGTAATTGCAACCCAGTCTTCTGCACAGGGGTGTGACTGTCACCCTGCCGACAGTGGTGCTTGATGGGGGGGATCTGGTAGATGTGCATCTGAGATGTGCTTCCACTGGGAGTCCAGACAGCCTTCACAGCTGCACCTGCCAAGACCATTTGTCGAGCATGTGGCCAGCTCCCTCCAGCCCAAGGTCTCTTGGGATCAAGCCAAAGGCAGGATAAGTTGTTCAGGGGGCTACAGCCTCTGTCTTCTCCCCAGGGCCTTGTGTCCCACCCTGGGGGTGGACAGACGGGTGACCGTTGGGCAATAGGAAGGTGAGGCTGAGGGAATGCCCAGGAGAGGGCTGCGACTGCCGGAGGCCTTGCTCGTGGAACAGAGGTGGCTGCGACAGGGCTCCTTGGCTGAGTCCAGCAGTAGCCTCCCATTCCCACTGCCTTCTTGCAGAGCATGGTGTCAGGGCAGAACCCGTGCGGCCCGGCACGCAGTGTCTGTCCAGCCACCCAGGATGCCTCGGGCAGCCTGTGCCTCCTTCCATGGATGCCCCGGGGTCATCCTGTGCTCGGGCACCCAGCTCTTCTCCCCACTGGTGGGCAGCCTGGAGCAGGAGAAGCTCATTGCACTGGGAGGTTCAGGTGCATCCAGAGACGGTCTGACATCTGCTCCAGCAGCCCTCGGACCTGTGCCCTGGCTGTGTGCTCCTGGGAGCCCATGGGACACTTCAGCAGCAGCATGGGCCGCTACCTCTCTGTTTGCCAGGGGTGCTGTGGTGAACCAGGAGGACCTGTATGACGCGCTGGCCCATGGCCAGATCGCAGCGGCGGGCCTGGACGTCACAACACCAGAGCCGCTGCCCACTGACCACCCCCTGCTCTCCCTCAAGAACTGTGGTAAGTGGCTGGCTGTGCAGCCAAACCCCGCCGTGCTCCAGCAACCTGCACGTTGGGAGCCTTACGTGCCTGCAGCTGGGGACCCGCTAGCTGCTGTGACAAGGATTTCCCATCCCCGTTAGCCTGCCGGTGTGAACAAGCACTGAAACATGGAAGGACAGGAAGGTCAAGCATATTTAAGCAGACTTTAGGTAGCCACCATACAATGGAGGGAGCTGCTAGAGGGGAACACATCAATGTGATGTAAAACAAGTATAGGAGGTATTTTAGTTCTCCAGAAAGCATTTGAGATCAGCTTATTATTTAACACCTTCCTGATGGATCTCCATTCGATGGGCCAAGGTGTGGGGTGAAATTCATGGAGAAGTCTGTTGCCAGCAGGTGCCTGAATGATAAAACAAATCCTTGCACATGCCCTTGTCCCAAAAGTGGGATCGCTTACCTGGTGTGTCACATGCCAGTACAGACACAGAGGAGACATATTTTATTTACTTCATGTCTGTGCAGAGATGGGTGCTAGGTGGTAATTCCACCAGGCTAGCACACTACACACAATCCTCCACATATTTATCTTGTTACAGGATTAGGAAAAGCCCACCTAAGTTTATGCTAATTGGTTTTTAATTGCCACATCATCTCCTATTGGTCAAGCATATTTAAATTAGCAGGCATGCTCCCTGAGGGTGTGTGGGGGTAATTTGCATAGTCCTTTAGTTGGGTGGGTGGTTGTGAACTTCCCTCAGCCACCTTTCCCTTTCCCCTCGTTACTGCTGATTTTTGTTGACTTCAGGCCTCTCTGGCAATCACCCAGCTCTCTGCGCCTTCTGGGGCAGAATGTTTCCTTTTTATCAGTTTTCAGCTCTCCTTCAAGGATACTCTTTAGCAAAGCATGCTTTTCATCAGTCTTTCAGCTCTTCTCCAAAGGTATAGTTATTAGCAAAGCAAGGTAGTGCATTTAACTCTAAATTAAACAGTGTCTAAGCACTAACCCAAACACATTCCTGTCCCTGTAAAGTGGAAAATTCTACTTTATAGATATCACCCTGCGAAGCTCTGGTATTATGTAAGGTCCTGGGCATATATTCTGCTAGAAAAGCTTCCCATATGGTTAAAAAGCTGGGTGCTAAGTCTGCCTAGGGGAATCTCATGCTGCAGCTGCTGCAAGACTTGCCAGCTAGCCCCTCTATTGTGAGCTTGGGCTGCCAGGCGCAGGTTCAGCACATGTGGCTGTAAGTAGGGTTCATTTAAGTGCTGGCTATGTCCTGACATCCCTGTTCCCCGTGGATGTCAGCAAATTAGACAGCCCCAAGTTGAAGAGGCCAGCAAGTGCTCATGCTATGGGATGAGCAGAGGTTTCTTTGGAGATGGTCTAGCTGCATCCCCTGGACAGCCCAAGGCAACTTTCACTGGGAAAATGGAGTGTGATAAGCTCAGGCAATCTGTTTTCTGGATAGTAACAGGTACTAGGCAGGTAGGAAGATGCTTGTCCCAGGAGTAATGCATGTCTTCTCTGGAGGAGGTTACGTCAGATGAGGAAGACTGGTTAGGAAGGGGCTTGCTCGGCTGCTCTAGTGCTCCAGGCTGCTGGAGTGGAGGCAGGAGCACCTGCAACCGGGGGCAGTAGTTGATCACTGTTGTTTTACCAGTGCTTTCCTGAAAGCTTGCTGAGAGCTGCCATGTGGGGCAGGATGATGATTTAGTGGAGGACATTAGCAGCCCTTGGTGTTTTCCTGGGATCCTTCTTGTAAACTGATGGGGCTGTGTGGGGCGCTGTTTCCCGTGGGCTTGCTGCACACCATTGCAGCTCCATCCTCAGGCACCATAGGCTGGCCAGTGGCCTGGGATGAGTTAGGGACAGTTCACTGCCTTCCCTTGTGTGGCCTTCAGTAAGAAACTTGGCCCATCCCCTGTAAAGCAGGGCCAGGAGCTTTCCTCTCCTCCAGACAGGGACCACGTGGGTCCAGCCGGTTAACTGAGCAGGACTGACTCAGACACAAGCCAGAAACGCTTGCTTGTATTCCTCAAGGCAGAAAAGAGACAGAAAGGCAACATGGAGAAGGCACTGCTTTCTAGTTAGAAAGCAAATGTCGTCGACTGTCTGCAACCTCGCTGCTGGTGCAATGGCAGGGTGCCTGCTCCTACCTAAATGCTTGGCTTTGCCAGGGTGGCTGGCCCTGCTGAGAGCTGATGGCATGAGCTGGGCCAGAGCAGCTTCCTCTTGCTTGGTTCAGTCCTTTGACTGCTCAAGCTGCACCCCAAGCATGAGATCTGGTGTGTGCTTCTTCACTTGCATGGGCAAAGTACCTGAGTGGTTGTGCAGGCAGCAGCAGGATGTTTTTGGAGTAGGAAAGGTCTGTTCCGACATACATGAAAATTTGGAACTGCCCATGACAGTGTCCATTTCTGAAATACAAGTTCATAGCTGTTGCTTTGATTACCTTTTTGCTAAAAACTATTTTTTATTTGTTTGGTTACCATAGCAGACTGTGAGAAATGATAAAAGCAGAGACTTTCTGGAAGTATTTGCAGGACTTCAGAGATCTTAGAGCAAGATCTAAGTACAAGTAAGACAAAAATAAATACATACATATTATTTTCACAGAAATGAGGCTTTGATGATTCTAAAACTATTCACAGATTTCACCCAAAGCTGCCAAATAGTTTCAGCAGCTGGAGGAACACAGCATAAGTAGAGGTGGAAGAAGTGTTGACATTACTTTCACAGCGAACAAGGAATCCAGGCTGGTTCTTGACTGGGGGAGAAAGGACCTATGTGGCCTCATGTAGGCTTTGGAGAGCCTTCTGTCCCTGGGGCAGCAGCCTGTCAATATTTAGGCTTCTGCATTGTCTGTAGTTGATGCTCTCTGTTATAAAAGAGAGACTGCAGTGCAAGCTTCTATCCATACTTTGGGCAAGTACTATTCGCTACTAATGTTACAGTAACTTACCAGCTTTGGTTCATTCCTTTGCATTGCATAAAATGAGCCTTTTCACATAGATGGATAAAAATCCCTGTGCTGCAGCTTGCCAGCTCTGTTCTGCGCCTCCTCATGTGCCTTTCCAGTGCACCCAGGGGTTTGTAAACCACAGTGTTTCACAGAGTCCAGGCTCTTGCGCTGATACGTTGGTTCATGCCTCTCAGTGAGCAGAATGTCCTAAAGCTGTGCAGCAATCAGGCAACAGCATGCAAATTTTACTGCGTGTTCGTCTGCTGAGAGATAGTATTTTACATCTACCACTGACTCCATGCAGGAAGGTGAGTACCAAGCCAAATGCAGAAAGGAGGACCCACTCTTGGCTGACTATCTGTGGCCTGGAGGACTTAAAAAATAGCTGAGTTAGCTGTTTATCAGATGTCTTTTCTAGTCCTCAGTGGCTGATGGTTTTGTTTCGTGCTCCATGTTTGATGTCACCTCCGGGTGGAGCAGAAGCTGGGTCGGGACCTGGGTTGTCCCCAGTAGGAAGACCCCCTGAAGGAGGCTCCAAGAGGTCAGTGAAGGTACGAAGCAAGCAAGTAACCCTCTCTGTCCCCTGCAGTGATTCTGCCGCACGTCGGGAGTGCCACATACGCCACGAGGAACACCATGGCAGTGCTGGCGGCTGACAACCTGCTGGCTGGGCTGCGAGGGGAGCCCATGCCCCACGAGTTGCTGCTGTGATGGCCAGAGCCCCCCCTCCTGCACGGCGGCAGAACACGGCCTTACCTTCCCCTGGAGAAGCCTTGCAGACCAGTCCTGTGCCTCTGCAGCAGCATGCCAGTAGTGCCTGCAGTGAGGGAACTGCACCATAGCCATTAAAGAGAAACAGTGAATGTGTCTTGCTCATTTTGTTTGAGAACTGGGTGCCCCAGGCGCATGGCAGAGCACACAGTGCTGTGGGGGGCTGCGGGTCCTGCAGTCACATCATCACTGCACCCAGCAGGCGATGGGTCGTGTTAAGCCTTGATTCAGAAAGACTTGCATTATCGGGACTGTCGTGTATTTTGCTAGACAGCATGTGTTGTACTGTAAGGGAGCTGCTGCTGAAGTGCCTGTGCTTGAAGCCTGGCTCCTGGGGAGACAGCAAGAGGCCAGGCAGTTTGTACTTGAGCTCCCAGCTCGCAGCCAGGAAGGAAGGAGAGGTAATTGCTCAATGGGCACAGGCCCACTGCTGCCAAGGAAGCTGCTGCCAGCCCGCTGCCAAGCACACGTTAAAAGGGCTTGTTGAATCCATGCCAAGGTGTGATGTTTGTGTTTTTCATGTGTCTAAAGAAAAGAAAAAAGAAAAGCATGGCTCCCCTGGCATCTCCAGCTCTGCCTTTTGTATCTAACTAATTCTGGGCATGGCTCTGATGTGGATTGCACACTGGAATTCACGCTGGGAGGTTCTGCAACCGCCCTGCTGGTTCCAGTCTCAACTCTCCCTATTTGTTTTCTTCCCAGACATGCAACAACACACGTTAGTGCAAAGGAAAACCTGAGTGGCTGCCAAGTCTCTAGCTGCCAGGAGAGGCCTGGATGAGCACGTATCGGGGGCTGTAGGGGTTCTGTCTCTTCTGCAGCGACTGTCCCACTTCTGTAATTGGGCGATGAAACCCATCTGTCCCTGACAGTCCTCCCCAGCAAGCTTCTGCTCCAGCTGGTGAAACAATCGGCGAGAGGTGCTCCTTGGATTGTTCATGCCCTGTTTGAGGGCAGCGTGCCCTGATGACATTGTTTCCTTAAGGAAAAGAGAAGAGGCTGTCATGTTGCATTGCAGTGACACAAGGAACTTTAACACATTTAAAGCTTGTCAGAAATCCTGCTTGAATGTGTATGTGTTGAGTGTGATCCCCAAATACCATCCTGCTGCAAGGGTGGAAAGGGTGAAGGACATTTTCCCTTACAGTTTCGTAGGGGGCATACCCATAAACCATCTGCAGCAGGATTCTGCATGGTAAGTGCATAGCACTGCAGCATCCAGCTGTGCTGAGCACAGGAGCAACTCATGCCTCACATTCTTCAGCAGGCGGCTTGGCTGTGGGCTTGCACAGTTTTCTTCCCAAGAATGAGTGAGTGAACCCCTTTCCCAGTGTTGCCCCACTTCCTCTAGGAGCTTGCTTGAAAGGGGCAGCTTTCCTCGGGGTCCCTTGCAGTTGTAGCAGTCCTTCCCAGTCTGCTGCAAGCAAGCTCAGGTCAGGGGTCTGCTCTTCCTCAGATGGGAACCGAGCCCTTTGGGGGCCCTGGGGAGTCTTCTCTCATTGGGAGCCATGGTCACAGCTTCACAGTCTAGACTATCAATTTTGCTGTCCTCCTGTGCAGGCAGTACTCAGGAAGCAGTTCTGAAAAGGTCACTACAAAGCAAAGGAAAACACCCAACTGGGATTTTCAGAATAAAAGGCAAGCATTTGATGTGTAGGATTGCTGCATTTTGAAATCAACAGCAAAGTGTGTTAAACAAGCAGAGTCATGTTCACTGGAGTTCAACGAGAGAGTTGTAATGTGCCCAGTCTTGCAGCGACAGCACTGCCACAGCTGGACACATCTGCAAATTGTGAATTTGTGTTCCCCATGTATGAACACATGTATAATGAGGATGCCAGTTAAATTTATCTTCTTTTCATGTTCTGCCTCTGTGGTGTGATGGGGAAGCCTTGGCAAGTGCAGCCTGCTAGGGCTAGTACTTCTAACAGAATATACACAGCAGGTGATACACAGTGCAATTCACTCACAACCTGGAACCAGATGCCCAGTCCATCCCAGAGCAGCCACCCCTCCTGCCTGGCCAGCTCCCCCTTATATACTGAGCATGAAGTCATGGTGTCAAATACCCCTTTGGCTAGTTTGGGGCAGCTCTCCTGGCTGTGTGCCCTCCCAGCTTCCTGTGAAAATTAACTTTATCCTGTCCAAAAACCAGGACAGCGGTGAAAAGCAGACCTGGACTCGCATTCCTTGTGAGCTGTGGCTCCATCGGCCATCCTCCTCTCCCAGCCTCGTCATCACCCTTCTCCCCAGGTTTCAGCATTCAGAGCAGCATATGAAACAAGGGACAGCTTTGGAAACAAGGCTGTGGGAGGTGTGGAGAAGAGGAGGAAGTGAGTGAACGTTTTGGTTGACTTGACCCTAGGGGAGTTCATCCCACAGGCATCGAACACAAAGCATGCCCAGTGTGTTCAGACAGGGCAGGTACTGAAACTGCTGAGCAGTGACGACCTCTGCCAGCAGCAGAGCATCTGCACCAGCTCCCCAGCTGCTACCAGCACATCTCCATCCTGTTTCCTCCAAAGCTGAGACTGGACCAGCTCTGCTGGCCTCATGGGTACAGGAACCCACCATGTGCTCTACAGTACAACACGTAAGTGTAACCCAGGAGCTTGTAGCTTTGCAGGAGCCACCTTCAGATGGGGTTAAGGATGATTAGAGATGATGCCTTGCAGCATGAAGCAAGATTGAAAAGCTGTCCTCATCCCAGTGCAAAGCAGTGGTATTTCTGCTCAGTGCATGGGGTGGGTGGGCATGGGCATGCTGCTTCCAGTGATGCAGGCTCCATTGTGATCTCCTGACCAGTGCCCCCAATCTCCCCCCTGCCCCAGTGCCTGCCAGAGTCCAGTACTCTCTGGGTGTGTTCCTTTAGATAATTCACACAAGGATGGTTTGGTGCTTAATACGAAATTTACTTCTTTGTAGGCATTTGATGTTACATTGGATTTTGATTTAGCGGAGTGATATAGCATGTACTGAAATTATAGTACAAGTACAGTACTACAATTGTGATATATGATGGAGTTGCAGTAGAAATGTGATGCCTTCTGTTACTATGCCAGGTGTCCCCAGCTGCCGGGAGGGAGCACGTGGGCTGAAGCCAGTTCAAGCCTGTAGCTCTCTTCAATGCTTTTTGCTGTCGGTCAGTGTTCACACTCTACACTGGGCTGAGCCAGGTGAACCTCCCCATGGTGGTCAGGCTTGTGTAGGAGGACACCTGAGCTCCTTTGGTGACAGTCTGTGTGAACAGTGGCACAAGTGGCTGATCCAGCCAGCTGAGAGGTGTGTTTGTACAACAAGGGCCCCAGTCCCTTTGCGTTGATACCAGCTCAGCGGCCACTGCAGCCGCCCATGCCCTCTCCTCCATGCCTTTGCCTTTGCAGGGGTTTGGTGACAGGCCTAAGCCCTGGCAGCAGGGGTGGCTGGGCCTGTGCAAGGGCAGGCGTGGGCTCAGCATGGGCCCCACTTGTGCCCCTGTCCCCATCACCAATGTGGTGCTGCAGCCAGGCAAACACTCCTGGGCTGAATGCACAATGGGCCTGCTTCCACCTCGGGGCTGAGGTTTACCCAGTCCCAGCGAACACCACCCTTCAGCAGCAAGATGGGGCGAAGCTCTCCCTGCCCCACAGCTCAGCCACTGGACCTGGACCCTGCCTCACCCCTGGCCGTCCCCTCTGTGCCTGCCCTGGGGCACCTCCCAGGAGCAGCCGCCCTGACAGCACAGCATTGGCCTCACCAACCCAGACACCTCTCCACACCCAGCCCGGAGGGATGGACCAGGGACGAGGTCTGAGCACCACAGGCAGCCCTCTCCTCCCTGCCACCCAGCTGCTGGCTTCTTGCAGCAACTGAAGAAGGTGGCAGATGCTGCAGACAGCCTGGGACCTTCAGCCGGTACAAACTCTGCACCTGCCCCGCCTGGTGCCTCCCAGCTGCAGCTCTGTCCAGCCATGTCGCGCGCTAGGCCAGCGCCCCTGCACCCAGGGAGGAAAGAGCCTTCCTCGTGTGGCCCAAAGGCTTCTACCACTGTTCGGGTCCTGGTGAGAGCTGCTCATGCCCATAGAAATTGTGCTGAAAAAGAGAGAAGTAACACAAAGCCTCAGCTGCTGGATAGACGTAATGACAGCGCTTTTCTGAAGTGATGGCACAAGGGTATGGGTAGAGGGGGGGCTGCAATAGGCAGGAGGGAAGCGTCTCATTCACAGCTCAGGAACTTGCTGGCGGTGCTCCCAGCAGCACTGACAACAGCCCTTCTCTGCTGAACTCTGGGTAGAGGCTCTTGGTGCCCGTTGGCCAGGAGGAGGAAGAGCCTCGTGCTTCCTCCCAGACGGAGGTGAGACCCCTCCTGGAAGGTGACCAGCGCCCAACGCAGCTTCACTGCTCTCCTCCCAGCAAGTCAGGCACAGGGTGAGCAGTGCGTGCCAGGCCAGAGGCGGCCAAGCCTGGAGATGGCGAGCGCTGTGCTGCAGCCAAATGGACAGACAGAGAACAGCCTCTGGAGGAAAGCCCAGGACAGTAACCGGCTGTAACATCCCTGAACTGCTCAATTCACCGTTCATTATTGTACAGCACAGGAAGGGTTCTGGCAAGGGTAAAAGAAAGGGCATGAGTCTGCACCTCTGAGAGCAGCAGTGTACCGTTTTCCCCAATTCTCATCCTGTATAAAAGCTGAGCAGGGTGCTGCATAATATTCCAAAACATTTCTTAAAAGATGAGAGGGGAGGGCAGCAGCTGGCAGCACCATAAGCCTGGTGCAGGGAGGGAGCCGAAACACAGAGAAAAGCCTGTGCTTGGCAATTAAAGTTCATCTAGTACACTGTGTACTTCTCTTTCTGTCCCGTGACAAGTATTCTTCATGCTGAATTCTCTGCTTGAATTTCTCTTGATGTTAAATGAACTGTACTCTCATAGCAATAATAGCTATTGGAAGATGTTCATTA